CCTATTGCAATAAAACGGCAATTTCATACTTTAACCCCTAATATATATATGATTTATTTTATAAGTACAACATTATTTAATCATTATTTATTTTTCAAATTAGTCAAGTGAAACAAAATAAAATAGACCGTTTTAAAATATATTGAATGTAAATGTGTGTAAAACTACCTAATTTCTTTACGGTTGACAATAGGTACGAAAAATAAATAGTCATTTTATAAGTGATGACGATTGCGTATACAAATAAAAAAGTCGCACACGTTTTTACTAATAAATTAATTTTTTATATTGCTCTGACAAATTACTTATTTGTTCAAAGTTATTAATTTTTCACATTTAATCATTAATAATGTACTTTTTTAATAAATACATTTTATTACGCACGGAACCACTATTAACCATTTTTAATTGTCTTTATTTCTATTATAAAAAGGAGCTGATTTTTCGCCAATATCATTTTAAATCAACATGAAGTCATGGAGCCTTCTGGTTTTCGCGGGGCTTCTGAGTGTCGGGAAAGCGAACGTTGAGTTGTACTCTTTTTTTAAAGAAACGGATTCAAAGCATTCGGTTCAGAAAAGCGATGTGCATTCGCCATCTGTGGCTGCCTCACTTCTACAAGTGCCAGTCGGCTTCCAATTGCACCTAGTACCGTCATCATTGAAATCCTCACTGGGGTCTCCAAACACTATCTCGCTGCCTCAGCAGAGTTTCATACCTAGCTTGCGTGTTAGCGATGTTGAGGCAGCGCCGAACAAAACAGCAACGACGAGAACCGATGAGACAACCAAACAGCCGTCAAGCGATGTTACAACATCCGAAGCACCGGCGACAGCAGATCTTGCGGTTCGTTCAGTGGTCCGAGTGGGTCCAGATCTTTTAGTGGCCCAAGTCGTGCCGTCCAACGATACAGAAATTCAACATACAGGGCATGTCTTGCTACCAGCAACGCGATCGCAAATTCTATTGCAAGTTGCGAAATCACCACAGCCGCCTAACAATTTCCAAGATCCTCTCAATGTGCAGCAATCTCACAATTTACATCAATCTCACAATTTGCAGCAATCTTTCAGTTTGCAGCAACCTCACAATTTGCAGCAACCTCACAAATTGCAGCATCTTCAAACAACAAGTCAACTCCGTAAGTAATTTTTAAATAAACACTGTTTCGAACCGTATAGGAAACCAAACCAGAAGAACGAAATACAGAGTTCTTTGTTATTTATTCTCTATGATATGACTCTTATGACGAGAACGTCTCAAGAGTCCAAGGTATGAGTTTTTTCTAAAATTGGTATATATACACTGATAGCCGATACCTATAGGGCATTTTCCCTTGTAATTTCCACAAAGCGTAAAAGTGTTCCTCAGCGATGAGAATGAAACCTATATTCATAAATTTGCCCGAATTCCATACTAATTGCATCTGAATCCATCTCTGAAGAAGAGTCAATAGCCGCGGTTTTGCTACAGTATTTCGAATAATATTCTTTTTTTTGTGTTACATCATATTGCGTCTTTTACAAATCATACTATATGCTGTTGGATATATGAAGACAGTTTGGTCGATAATAATGAACTTTATTTATTGTTCACATTGGATTTTTTGTTTCAGGGTGCGATTTTCCGGAATACCGGGCGATGGTTTGTGTTGGTGACCTGGAGACCACATGTGATCGCCCGTATCGCGTAGACCCCAAATGTCCATTTAAACAGGAAAGGTGCCTGTGCTCAGAAGGCTACGTCCGTCCTTTTGATTACCATCAAGTCCATCACATGAGCGGAACCTGCAATCCTGAATCTTCTTGCCAAAAAAAGGGTAATTACTTACTATGATTGTTACGAAGTGTTTTCTCAACTTCAACTTCGTTTTTATTTATCTTGATTGATCCCTACATTGATATTTTCTGGGATAAAAGTTGAAGTTACCTTTTGAAATCATTTATTTTGTTTAACGCTAAGGGAACTAATTTTAACATGTGCTAATTATATCGCACTTCTCAATGCCCGAAAGAAGTGTAAAGTAGGATAATTTCAGCCTTTGATACTTCTAATTTTACTGTGTGTAATAAAGCAAATAAAAAGAATGGATGAAGTTTTCCTTTGAATCAAAACCTTCCTTCTATTAACCATCCTTTTGCCAATTAAAATCGTTGTGCCACTCATTCATACGAAGTGGCTTGCCTTCCTAATGCGCATGGTAAAGGATCGGAACTCACTGCCGGCGCCTGTGTGTCTCAAAATATGCAATATGAGGCTATTCAAAAATAGATATTTTTGGACAAATGCATACCAACATCAGCCACACACAGAGATTGAAAATAAGCGTGCGTTTATTTTACATTTAAAAAAACTTACCAAAGTTAAATGTACTATAATTAATGAAAATTTTGATTATAATAATTACTACTACGAAAAACTTGCAATAAAACTCAAGCGATATTTTCTATCCAATTATTATTTTTTTTATACATAATTTTTATTAGGTTTCACTGTTTAATTTTCACTTATAATAATGAATAATTAACATGTAGTAAAACTGGTAATGTTATTAAATTCTGCAATAAAAATGTCGTGAAGAGCGTGCTGAGCGTGCTATTTTAATGATCCGTATAATTTGTTACTAACAATCATTAAATGATAGTCCCAATGACCCCACAGAAAATTCCCACAAATGGGGACGCTGGGATTGATTATTCTAAAATCCACATTGTGATATAGGTACCTTCAGCGTATAGATTATTTTATATATTACTAGTCCTGTAGCCTATCCTTAGAGAAATGAGAATGCAGAAGGCTCGGTCCAGAAGATGTTATTGTAAGAGATGATAAAAG